AATCGAAGACCTGAGATCCACGAGCTTTCTGAATGCCTTTTTAGAGGCTGGGAAGTGAAACCCGAACCTCCAACAGTAGAGGAATCATCGCTCATTTTGATGAACCTCTCTGCAAAATTTGGGAAAAATGGTGTACCAAGAGAGATCACATCAAGAGATCCCACCACCTAGCATTTCCAAGAGAGACCCAGTCGGATGACTAGGCTTCATTGAACGATCCTTCTTCTACCGTCTACAGTTGGTAATCACCTTAGTATTCGTTTTCTCAGTAGTGCGGTCCATTACTTATTTTTCAGCCCTCTATGCGAAACGCGATATTCTCATCGACTGCTGTTGGGTCCGTGGAAATTCACACTGCCCTCACATTATGAGGTAGCAGGTCCGTTCAACTGATCCTCTGCAGCAGTCGTAATTTCGGTTGATAAGGATCGATAACCTAGAACTCTATACGGCTCGAGCCCTCTGCCTCAACAATTACTGGCTTGCCGTTTCTACTGCCTGCCCTACGGGCTATTCTGGAATACGAATTTTTGATCTCAGCCTCGCCCTCTTTGGAGCATGCTCCGCCTACAGCAGGAGTATCTCCTCCACCTTACTCGCGAAGCCTTTTCTACATTGCTCTCCCCCTCTGAGTAGTTCCTGAACTACTCAGAGGGGGAGAGCAATGTAGAAAAGGCTTCGCGAGTTTCGAAAATCGGTTTCAGTCCCTCCTTTTACACGAATGCCCTGCTCCCTAATGGTATGTATGTCCTCCTTATTCAACTCGCCAAACCACTCCTAGCTTTGCAGAATTTCTCCGTTACAGTGGACGCTGCTCATTGCAAGAAAACTACTCGAATGAATTGATAAATGTTCTGTCAAACTAACCACAAAACGCTTATCAAAATCACAAAACCGCGCAATCAGCATCGGATAAAAAGGGTTGAAGTTCTTCTCTTTTAGTGACATCATGATCAGCACATAGATGATTTCTCGTTCTTGTTGTCCCTTCAGGGATAGGCGAACGAGGCGCTCGAAAGCCGTATCTTCGTCATCGGACGTAGCTGAAAAGCAGAATTGAAAAGTCGCTCTCAAAATAACAACCAATGACTCTTAATAAGCTAAAACATGGAACATGATCGAAGCAGTTCGTGCACTCTTTTGACGAGAACATACCTACGGTGCAGAAAATATTTCTTCGGACATCCGTATTCATCTTGGCCCGTCGAGCAAGTTGCACTATCTCCTCGGGGAAGGAACCAGTACTTGGCGTCGAGGCACCAACGTTACTTCCCCCAGTTCCACTTTCGCTGGCTACTCGATATGCTGATCCAACGACCCACCTAAATGAGTTACTGTTTTCATTACTTCACGAACATCCAAGGCATTATAACCCGGCGATCCGGTGTAGGCTAAGGATTCCGACCAAGGCGAGTCTACAGCCAAGGCGAGTCTACAGCTCAGCCTCTGCGGATGTCTGCTGACGCTTAGGTGTTTTGAGGGAACTGGGTTTGGCACGGCGCCGGCCTGTTCCCCAGCAATTGTGAAAACTGGCAGGTGACCATAACAGTTTGAGTGAGTTTGGCACCGCGCCGACCCCCCCCCCTCTCCCACCCGCCGATTTGGTTCTTAGCGTCCACAGAGGAACCAGATCGTAAGCATTCATTGGTGTGTTGCTGCTACCCATGGTTAACATGACTGAGGGACTTACGGAGAATAAATATTCCATAATGTTTTCATACACATGAGTCTTGGTAAGATCTTAAGAGTCGAGTGCTTAAATAAAAGCTTTTGGTTCAACGCAGGGAACCCTTGTCCATACCAAAAGCTTTAGTAGAACCGGATTGATTATCAGAGTAGCAGAGAGCTCGAGAGCAACACTTGAGCATCACATTAACTGGATTCGGTAACTTATAGGGGGCATATAGTGCGTGCGATGATGACCCGAGTTATCGTGAGTTCTAATCCCCGCAGCAATCTTATTCAGAGATCGTATACCGTCCATCGTATATCGTATACAGTCATACCGTACGACTACTCAGGGTTCTATAGTGTAGTTCGCTGCGGATGGTGAGGTGCCAGATTTGCGGTGTGTGTACCACGGTGAAAAACCCGTTCTCTGCCAGTTGTCGAGGCAGTTAGGCAGCGTTCAGACTTGTAGCGCTACGTCGCGCTACAGCTGTAGCGCTACAGTTGTATCGCGACGTAGCGCTTGCCACAGCCTAAAAAAGTGAAAATTCGGAAGAATAAATCAAAATTCCGCGAAAAACGAAAGTGGGCGTGGTCAGAGGGGGGGCTTAGTGTGCTAGTGTGTAAATGCATGACTATATTCGTTTTGTGAAGATTGAATGTGAAAAAACGACGTCGAAAAAAGTTATAAAAATTCAGAACTATGTTGTGTACAATTGTAGCGCTACAGCTGTAGCGCTACGTCGCGCTACAACTGTATCGCTACAAGTCTGAACGCTGCATTACGCGACAACAGTTGTTGGGAAACGAGTGATACGAACGACATGATACAGTCTTGTCACTTGCTCGCTTTAACAGCTGGTGGAGAACGGGTTTGGCACCGTGCCAAACTCATCCTGCCTGACACGCCCCACCGTCCGCAGCGAACTACACTATACGTGGGCTCATTTTACCGGACGAGGTCAAATAGTCTTGTTTTCTGCAGATGCCAAACGTGTGGAGGGGGGATGGACTGCTGCAGCGATAGCCTCTTCTCCACCCATTGTGGTCGCCGGATATGTGACAAGACAATCGAAATATGTCGTCTTAGCCTGCCTGCCTTTTGAATTTGAGTAACCAGGATAAGGAAAAAATTCTCTATCGCTCTTCACGGAGTCTCGTCTCCGCTTGAATTCACAAGACTTTCGCTGCTATAATCGACAAAGTTTTGCATCTCAATAATTCGCAACGCATCGCCGCAGGGTACGCCGCGCACGACGACGCGACAAGATACTATTGTCTTGTCCGTCTCTCGTGGTCGCCTGTGGCTAACACATAAGGGTTTGGTGGAAAACAGGCTGGCGCCGCGCCAAACCCATCCACATCCTCCCCTCCTCCTCCTCCCCCCCCCCCAAACGTCAGCGTCCGCAGCGAACAAGCCTTACAATACCAGAGCAAAGATTTGCAAAGAGCCCGTTTCACTGCAGAAGGTAGCCTCTACTCACCAACGTCCTCGCTCATCAGCATGAAGTAGATCATCAAGGGACATTCCTAACTCTTTATCACAAACCAGATTACCCTCTGAAATAAGTATTACAGAAGATTAATAGCTAGCAAACTGAATAAGAGCTCACTTTCCTCATTCCGATGATAATAGCTCTCAAATAGTGTTCGTAATGTATTGACATGAATCAACGTCTGATTGTGATTTTCTGGAGAGCCAGCAAAGTCTCACCCAGAAACTTTGCTCTGGGCCTAAACGAAGTTGGCGTAGATAAGACTATATATAGCAAAATTTTTTTGCCACTTACAAAGCGGAAAATACAGCGGTATCAGTGCGTTGGTTATCTTCGACAATACTTCGGAAAAGGCAGACCAATGCGATTTACGTAGTGCCTTATAAGAGTCTGCAAATAGATTCATTAGAGTGAAACATCGTACTGGAAATCGAAATAGAAAAAAACGCCTTTTATAATATTCACGGATATATTGGATATTTGAAGGCAAAACCCGTAATTATTTGCCATCACAGGT